GCACAATGGTTGAATGCAGTGATGTACACTGATCATCTCCTGTACAGAGGGAGCATGATGGCTGGACACAGTGATGTGCACTGATCATCTGTACAGAGGAAGCGCAATGGCTGGGTGCAGTGATGTGCACCTATCATCCCATGCATAGAAGAAGCACAATGGCTGGACACAGTGATGTACACTGATCATCTCCTGTACAGTGGAAGCACAATGGCTGGCACAGTGATGTGCTCCTATCAATCAGCCCAGGTGCAGAGGAAGCACAATGGTTGGGTGCAGTGGCAGGAGCCTGTCATCCCAGCAAAGAGAAACACAAATAGGAGGATTGCAGTACAGGTTAGCCTTGTCAAAAAGTGAGACTCTATCTTGAAAATAACTGATGCAAGAAGGTGCTGCTAAAGTGACCTACCTAGCAAGTATATTGGAGTTCAAATCCTAGCACTACCAAAAATAATAATAATAATTTCAGAAGTGATGGCAACAGAGTACTCTGCCTAGTGTGGAGCCCTTTACAGTGTAAGGCCCTGTGTGAATGAACAGGTCATACACTGGAGGTCATCTCAGGCCATCAAGCCTGTGTGCTGCTCTCAGCTACACCAAGCCCAGCAGAGCAGATTGAGAGCCGATCAGACGGCCTGAGCTGGCTTTGAACCACAATCTTTAGAGCTCAGCTTCCCAAATAACTAGGATTTAAGTCATGAGTCACTGGCCCTTGGCCTCAATTTTAGTTTTGAGAGATATTAAGTTAAGAGGAAGGTAAAGGTTCAACAGCAGAGACTAACTGATACAGACACTAAATAGAATCTTAATTTCTTGGGAAAATGGCCACTTCCAGGTCTGGGACAAGACATAAATGAGCCTGAGCTGGAAAGCAAGGAAGCTCCCAATGACTAATGGTAAAATGAAACTTCAGCTAAGTACTGCAGTCTATGCTATACATCTAAAGGAAAGTGCACTGATGTTTGTGCCTAACTTGGGAAAAGAATAAGGAAGAGTGCATGGATGGATAGGTGGATATATAATGAAGCCAACAGGCTAAAATATTCATAGTAGATTCTTTTTTTAATTAATTTATTGTCATTTGTGGGGCTTGAACTCTGGGCTTGAGCGCTGTCCCTCAGCTCTTCAGCTCAAGGCATGTGCTTTACCACTTGAGCCACAGCGCCACTTCCATTTTTCTGGTGGTTAACTGGAGATAAGAATCTCACAGACTTTCTTGCCTGGGCTGGCTTTGAACCATGATCCTCAGGTTTTAGCCTCCTGAGTAGCTAGGATTACAGGTATGAGCCACCGGGCCCCCTGGCTCACGGTAGATTCTTTCAAACACCTGATATTAAAAAAAAAATCTTTCATAATGAAATTTTTTTTCTTCCAGTCGTGAAATCTGGACCTGGGCACTACCCCAGCTCTTCATCTCAAGGCTAAGCTCTACCACTTGAGCCACAGCACCACTTCCAGCTTTTTCTGTTTATGTGGTGCTGAGGAATCGAACCCAGGGCCTCATGCATGCAAGGCAAGCACTCTACCACTGAGCCACCTTCCTAGCCTATTCATAATGAAATCTTGAATAAGAAAAGGATACAAGAGATGGTGTCAGTGGTTCACATCTGTAATCCTAGCTACTCAGGAGGCTGTGACCTGAGGATTATGGTTCAGACACAGCTTAGTGGAAAGTCCAAGAAACTTTTTTTTTTGGGTCCGGTCGTGGGGCCTGAACTCTGGGCCTGGGCGCTGTCCCTCAGCTCTTCAGCTCAAGGCTAGCGCTCTACCACTTGAGCCACAGCGTCACTTCCGGCTTTTTTTTTCCCTGCTTATGTGGTGCTGAGGAATTGAACCCAGGGCCTCATGCATGCAAGGCAAGCGCTCTACCACTGAGCCACCTTCCCAGCCCAAGTCTAAGAAACTCTTATCTCCAATGAAGCACCAAAAAAGCTGGAAAGTGAACCTTTGACTCAAGTGGTAGAGAGCTAGCCTTGAGCAAAAAAGCTTAGGGACAGTGTCCAGAACCTGAGTTCAAGCCCCAAGACTGGTGCGTGTGTGCACATATGCACACACATGCATGTGTGTGTGTGCGTACACACATGTGCATGTACATGTGCGCACGTGTGTGCATGCACACACCCACCCACCCACACACACACACACACGATGCAGGAACCCAAAATGCCTAAAACATACTTTAAGTATATACAATCCAGTGTATTCATAATGGTACAGCAAGATCAAGTCAGTCCAGTCACCATCAGTGGTTACTACAGTACCAACCCTGTGTTCTAACAGTTGGCCAATAAGGGGAAAGGAATTCTTTACTCTCTCACCCATAGGACCTGCATTTCAGGGTAACTAAAGGACTATTTGTCTCCCCATGTCTCTGTCTCTGTTCCTCCCTGCTGCGTATACTATGCCATTCTCTGCCTGGATCATTCCCATATGCACAAATGCATGTTAAGCTATTTATATACACACTCTTTACTCTCATGTCTGTCTTCCTCCTTTTGCTTCATGTTTCTGCTCCCAGGAAGGGGAAAAACTCTTGGTTAAACTTATCTAGGAATGCTGTGTTTACCAGCTCAGCAAACATCTAATCTTTAGCCTACTCCAATATGGCTCCTACTAACCCTGAAATGGAAATTGCTTTCGTCATATCACAAATGAAGTCCATTTGCCACCATCATTGAATGCTTTTCTCTCCTACTTCCTACAGCAACTGACAGAGTGGGTGACTCCTTCCTGCATCGCTCTTCTGTCATGAGCCAAGTGTGAGACACTATTGTTCTTCAGGGGAGGGGGCTACTCTGCCCAGAGATCCATGCAGGGTTCTCTTAAAAACTTGCCCTGGTTTATCTTGTTCATCCCATGCCTTTAAATACACTCCATCTGCTGACTGTTTCCAAATTTAGACAGTCTCACATAATTCATCTCGACATCTGTTTGGATGACCAAGTATTTCAAATAGTGTTTACAATGGGGATCTGCAATTTCCCTCTAACTATCCCTCACTTCACACTGGCTTCTTCACATGCCTTCATTGTTCAAGTGTCAGACCTGAAGTCATTCCGTGCTTTTCCCTCTTTCCATCAAGTATATCTAGTCTGCATCGGAAGAATTTCAGTTTCCTCTAGTTTTGGCTGCTACCATTCCAATATATACATGTTGTCTAGATAACTGTCAGTGATCTGCATCATGACTCTTTAGATCCATTCTTGTTCTGCTTCGCTGCCTTCTCTCCAAGTAAATACCTCTTTGGAGTTAGCCATGTTAAGGGCTGGAGGCCAAAAGAGTTGTCACAGGTTGTATGTGTCATGAGAGAGGCATCAGAAAGGACTGGAGTTTTTCTGTATCAACACCTTCACCAAGGTAAATTTGGGTAGGGCACACCTTGGGCTCGTAGGGATAAGAGCTCAACTTCTGGTGTGTTTTCCTTGTACTGTGCATTTGTGAAATGAGCCAAACTAGATCAGCAGAGGCATTTAAGGAGAAAGATTTGGGAAAGTGGCTTCTATGATGTGTTAAATCTTGAATTAGGAACAAGTCTGAGATAAACAGGAAAGTTAGACCTAGCTGCACAGGCATGAGAATAATCTTTGAGAGTCTGCTTAAAGTACAGGGGGAACAAAATAGGAGGGCACAACAAGACTTTTCTAAACTCACAGTACTTTCAGAGCACTCTTTATTCAAAATCCAATGTGTCTTACTGCTTCTGATGGAAATGGTATTGTCTCAGATTTCTACTCAAGGTAATGCAGCAGCTTATGACCTTCCCAGAAGTCAGTGACAACCGAAAGTGATTACATCTTTCCTAATGCACCCAGAGGGTACAAAGGAATTACTCCTGGTTGGAATTACTGGATCAGAATAACATCAATGAGGACATCAATTATTCCTTTGTAGCCACCCAAATGTTAGTATGTCTTAGGGAGACATAACCAGGAGCATCCTGAACTCTATATGCTGAAAATACTCTTGGGAAAGAATTTATGAGCCCAAGGGCACAGGTTGGGAAGAGGGCCAGGGAGTACATCTTGGGGGGAAGGAAGTCAGCCTCAAGCAGAGGAAGAGAGGCCAAAGCAAACTGGGCCTTCGCTCTGCCTAGCAGCAACACTTTCTGCCCCTCTCTGTGTAATTCCCATCTATGCCATACACTGACAGTGCTAGTAGGAGCAGACAATATCCCTTTTACTACTGGGATCCAGTTTATTATTTCATTTGCTAAGACTCTCCATGCAGTTTCATCTGCTGCCCCCTAGTGAGGCTGCACAGTGATGCCTGGCTGAACTATGCAAGCTTGTTCTGAGCTCTATACCAGGGTTCTTGAGACATGAACATGTCAGTCCTCTAGTTTTCCTCCATTTCACTCTCACTAGCAACATTAAAAATGTGGAGTGAGTGAGCACGAGGTCAATAGGGGGCAGCAGCAGATCCTGGGCTTTGCAAGGAATGTTCTTGGTAAGATAAAAAGCAGCCCTGTGTAGACTGAGTACCAGCTCTGTCTGCCTTAGGATCTGCCAATGCAGGTTCCCTTTGTTGTAAAAGCCAGGGAAGAACAGCAAACTCAACAAGCAACTCAGCTGGCCCTCTACCACTTGGGCCACAACTCTGAGTAGCTAAATCCCCACTGCCTGGCTTCTGTTATGTAATGTTGTCTAAGAAAAGCCACTGGCAAACAAAGCCAGAGTCTTTTTTCTTCTTTTTTGTGGTACTGGAGATTAAGCCACATCTAAATGTGTAACTCTTTACTAGGGTACTTTCATTTTGAGACAGAGTTCTGCTGCAATTGAAGCTGGACTTAAATTCATTATCTTCTATTTCTCAGGAGTGCTGGGATTACAGCTATGAGCCACCATACTTAAGCCCTTGCTATAAATTTTCAAGTTTTTTTGTTTTCAGATTTACCAGTGATACAGTTTTCAGATTACATCACATAGGACTGCTGGTAAAGTATGTTTTAAACTATACTGAGGATTTAAAAACAGGCACAACAACATGGACACAAAGATGTCTCCTGTTTTAGGAGTGATGTTTTACTGTGAATTATGGTAACATCTTTGATATCAATTCTGGGTGAACCAAGATGGCCGCTTCCTGTCTCGTTCAATGATCCTCTTTTCTCGGTCCTGTTCAGATGGTGTTTCTCCTGTATACAGCACCACAGTCTCCATGGTTGGAGCCTTGAAGGGACCTCCTTCCTGCTTCCATATTTGCCGTCGGATTTCTGTAGTCTCCTTGCACACTTTCTCGTAGCAATAACCACAGAGGACATGCTTCTGTTTCAGGTGGCCACATTCAGGACAAATATCTATATTGTTCTTTAAAACAAGAAACAACAACATGTACTACCTAGAGGCAATTCAAGGCATATTATCATCAATGAGGCAAGATTACATTTCAGATCTCTGAGAGGTCCTATGCATCAAGTTCAATAGCACTTTAACAAGGGTACTGAAAACAAGTTTGAATTGTTTTTTTTTTTTTTAAAGGTACTAAAACTCAGGTTTACCAACTTTGCTGCTGCTTTTTTTTTCTTTTGAGACGAAGTCTCACTATGTAGAGTGACTTTCAACTTGAGATCCTGCTGGGATTGTAGATGTGCACCGCCAAACCTAGCATACCTGGTGCAATTTTGAAGTAAATTGGTTCAACATGAGTCAGAAGATGACCAAAAAGGTATGAAGAGACACCCACAGTGTCTTCTTTTCATGATCAAAGTACCCAAAACAATGTACTACACATAGTTGGCAATAATTCAAAACAGAAAATAAAAGCAAAGTAGTCAGAGAAGTTACATAATAGATTGATGCTGGCTCTCATTCTTAAAATCAAAAGTCCTCCATATCAAGTTTTAAGAAGTCTAAAGGGCACTTTTTGGTACCAGATTAATTTCATCCCATTCCTACCTCAGTAATAGATTCCAGCTCAGGTTCTGCATGTCTAACAGTGAATGTAGAAGGTCTGTTCTAGCATTTCATTACCCAAGGATACTGCTATGGAATGCGACAGAGGAAATAGTAAATGAGACAGTGTTCAAGAAATAAACTGACAGTACAGTGATAACAGACACTGTAATCCTTTGCTGTCTGAAGGTAACAATGTACAGAGACAATTTTCCAGAGAAGAATGTGGATCCTAAAACTAGATGCCAGGGCTCGAATCCTACCTCTAACCCCTTCACAACTGTGTAACCACAGGAAAATTCATGTTTTTGTTTGTTTGTTCTGTTGTACTGAGGTTTGAACCAAGGGTCTGTGCAAAGACTCTAATGTCATGCTTTTATTATATGTGTGTGTGTGTGTGTGTGTGTGTGTGTGTGTGTGCATGCATGTGTGCGCGTGCGCGTGCGGTGCATGCCAGTCCTTGGACTTTAATTCAGCATCTGGGTACTTTCCCTTAGCTTTTTCACTCAAGGCTGGTACTCTGCCATTTGATCCATGGATCTACTACTAGCTTTTTGCTGGTTAATTGGCGGTAAGAGCTTCACACACTTTCCTGCCCAGGCAGGCTTTGAATCAGAATCCTCAGATCTCAGCCTCCTGAGAGGTAGGGTTACAGGTGTGAGCCACTGGCACCCAGCTGAGAAAATTCTTTTTATCTCACTTTATGTTAAAGATGAAGACATGATATTGGCGTTAGAGGATTGGTATGAGAACAGAAGCAGATAATAACAGAAAGCACTGTGTGACATAGGGCATTATATAATAGCTAGTAGAATCCATGCTTCAATATCCCTTCTGCTTCTGATGTTAATTTTAGGACTTGCCATGGTTCATGTTTTTTCACTTGTGGTTCAACTGCACAGTTCAGGACTGACACTGTTCAAATATTCAAAGTTAAATCCAGTCCTCAGTGCAAACTCTGACTTTAATTTTAGGACTTGCCATAGTTTATATGTTTATTTTAGTCAGTTGCAGGGCTTTAACTCAGGACCTGGGCACTGTCCCTGAGCTCTTTTGTTCAAGGCTAGTGTTCTACCACTTTGAGCCACAGTGCCACTTATAGCTTTTGAGTGGTTAATGGAGATCAGAGTCTCATGGGGGACTTTTCTGCCCAGGCTAGCTTCAAACTGCAATCCTCAGGTCTCAGTCTCCTGAGTAGCTAGGATTACAGGTGTAAGCCACCAGTGCCTATTTATTTTTTTACTTTATTTATTTATTTTTTCTTTTTTATAGTGGGATCAAGCCCAGGAAATTGCACTTATTAGGCAATTATTTGCTACTGAGCTACATCCCAGCCCTGTTTAATCATTTGTAGTTCAAGTCACAGTTTAGGACAGATATTGCTCAAATTTAGTCATGTGGGCTTTTTAAGTCCTCAGTTTAATCTCCAAACTCATCCCTTGAGTATGTCTTAGTAGGCATACAAGATTTGATTTATCCAAGAACTATATAGTGGTGGATGTGAAGAAAAATACACTCCCCAAAATGAGCACATTACCTTAATTTTAATAAGCTTTTGAGGATTTCTTCTCCTACACCGGTTAACTTCAATGCTGCGCCTGCTTTTGGGAGCTGCCATCCAAAGGACACTATCCAAAAGGCTGAGATTCTCCTTACTTGCACTGGAATCATTTGCTAGTTCTGTAAATATGCCTGGACCCTGGAGTGCTAACGCTGGTCCTGTGAGATAAAACAGGAAGACACATAATTCAACTCTAGATCCAAAATGACTAGACATAATTCTCCTAAATAATCAACTGTGATGGCATTAAGCATACACATACAGATATAGTCAACAGGTAACCTTAGCTATTAAGTACTAAAACTCTCAGAAAAGGCTATTTATTCACTTATTTATTTCTCGTGTTTGCTAGGCAAGTGCTCTACCACTTAAACCATCCGTTAGCTCCAAAAGGTAAATATGTATTTATTTATTCATTCATCCATTCATTTTTGTGATTTATACTTTGTGCTGATTCTGGGGCTTGAATTCAGAGCATTACACTTGCCATCAGCTTTTTCATTCATGGCCAGTGCTCTAACACTTGAGCCTCATCTCCAGTTCTGGCTTTTTGCTGGTTGGTTGGAGATAAGAGTTGTGAATTTGTTTGCCGATCTAGCTTCAGGATGCTCAGGTCTAAGCCTCCTGATTACAATAGTGAACCACCAGATGCGGGACACCAAAGAACATTTTAAACATTAAATTTCTTACTAGAACATGCTTAAATGAAAGTCTATTGATTTTCTCTCCTCATGCAACATGGACTTGAGTTATTGCTAAGCATGAATTTAAAATGCTCAACAAGTGCCAAACTTAAAACAAAACAACCAAAGTCACTCAACTGTTCACATTCCATATGGGAGATGATGCATTCCCTAAATTCACTTCTCATCTCCACTGACATAACTCCGTACTGAACTTTTTTTCTTTTTGTTGGTTCTCGGTTTTGAACTCAGGGTCTAGGCACTGTCCTTGAGCTTTTTCTGCTCAAGGCTAGTGCTCTATCACTTGGATACAGGACCATTTACGACCTTTTCTGAGTAGTTTATTGGAGATGAAAGTCTCATGGACTTTGCTGCCCAGGCTGGCTTTAAACCATAACTCTCAGATCTCAGCCTCTTGAGTAGCTAGGATTATAAGTGTGAGCCACTGGCACCTGACTGTACTGACCTTTTTAAATATTACCAGCTGAGCACTGGTGTGGTTCATGCCTATAAGGAGTAATTTCAGGAGGTAGAGATTTAAGGGCTGAGGCTTGAAATCAGCCTAAGCAGAAAAATCTATGAAATTCCATCACTGAAACAATCAGCAAAAAGCTAGGCTGGAGGTGTGGCTCAAGCACCAGCCAAGCAGGCAAGCTGAAAAGAGTATGATGCCAAGAGTTCAAAGGTTAGTATGGGGGTTGAGGATGTACTATTACATTCACACCCAGTAGGATCCTTTATGATGTAACTTTGTAGGTCTCCTAGTTCATTAAACTCTTCAGCATTTTTCATTCCTGTCTATTGTCTAAGAAAGGTGTTAGCTCACCACTTGTATGTGATTATTCATTCACCTATCAATGCTTCACTTTTCCCTAATGGGGGGGAAAGGGATTGAAACTGGGTCTCACTGTGTCCAGGCTGGCCTCAAATTCTCCATCTTATTGCCTCAGCCTCCCAGTGCTCAGATTACAGTATTGCACACAACTTAATGTCTTGCTTTTCCTTTCCTAAACTGCTTATAAAGTCAGAGTTTCCTTTATTCTTTACTATTTTTCAGAGTTGTATACTTTGAATTTTAAGAACTCATAGAAGTATACACATAAAGCTCTCTACTCTTACCAGTATTCCTATTTGATACACCTAAATTAATAAACATAGCCCAATGGCTAACAGCAGACTCTGTTACCCTCCCTGAGCTTCCTTGTTTAATTGCAAAGTGGAGAAATCTAACAGGACTGTGACAAGAAACACAAGTGTTTGGCATACAGTGGATCATTCTTTCTCTGAATACATCATTCTCACTGTTGGGATTCTTTGCAAGTGTCAAAGTGATAACCGTTTGAAACCCAAGGTACTTCTAATGAAAGTCTGTTCCTGCAGGGAAGGCCAGAATCAGAACTGATCTACATACATAGACCTTAAACTCCACAGAGGTGAACAAATTGCATTTCACCTATATTAGGAAGAGGAGTCAAGAGGGTCCTTGAGTGGCCCTTCTTTAACCTGAGAATTTAAGAACACTGCATGTATGACAACTGTCCAAAAGACCTGCATAAAGAAGTGACTGGATTCTAGGATGTTACTAGTGGCATTTCACACGTCCCCAGCATGATCTGAGTTCCTTTAAAATTGCCTAAGAAAGTATCATGCTTCCAGGAAAATTTACACTTTTTGCTCTGATCAACACACACTTCATAGGCACAGGAACTCTCTTATATTTACTTAGAAGGGCTCAGTACTGTAAAGTTGTACTCATAAGGGTCTTCTCTTGGGAACTACATTTACTTAGAAGGGCTCAGTACTGTAAAGTTGTACTCAGAAGGGTATTCTCTTGGGAACTAAAGGCAATTCCTGTGAAATATAATCCACAAAGAATAGGATCTCAGTCTCCCAGTCGCTACTGGCAAGACTGGATAACGTTGAGATACAGATACACAGACTACTCGTTTCAGTTCTTTGGCTCCTATAAACTCCTACCCTGTTCTTCCGTGCTGATTTGTATAAATCAGCTTTTCACAAACTAGAACGGAGCTCCTATGAGTAGGGATATGATGACAGGTTTTACATAATCTATCTGTGAAACAAGTTAAGGTGTATAACGATTCATGGGCCAACTGACAGGTTTTTTTCCTGTGTGTGTGCTGGTCCAGGGGTTTGAACTCAGGACCTGGGCAATGTTCTTTAGCTTTTCCACTGAAGGCTGGCACTCTACCACTTAAGCCACAGCTCCACTTCGGGCTTTAGGATTTTCCTGCCCCGGCAGGCTTCGAACCGGGATCCTCAGATCTCCACCTCCAAAGTAGGTGGGATTACAGGCGTGAGCTACTGGCGCTCGGCGGACAGGGCGGTTTACGTCACCGAAGATGTCCCCCAACACCAGGCCTCAAATCAGAACGCTGAATCGTAGGCCTTTGCCCCCTCCTCAACCCACTTCCAAGATTCTTCTGTCACCTACCCCACGGAGGGCTGGGAGGACTTGGCCAGCTTTGTTGAAGTTTCCGTTGCAGCAGCCTCCAACAGTCTCGGAGTACACCGCGACCCGAAGGCCACGGTGGGAACACCAATATGAGCACGGAGGACACCATCTTTCTCGCCGGAAGACGGAAATCACAAAGCTGAGTCCCGTTCCCTTTAGGAGCATGCGCACAGTCCCAGAGTGGAGCAAATGCGCCTTAGGGAACTACAACTCCCAGCATGCACTGGTAGAGCCTCTTTGAATTTTCTCCAATCATGGAGAGTTGAGGAAGGAGAGGGCGGGGAAACTAAAAGAAACCGGCTACAATACGCATGTGTGCAGATGCTCCTTGGCTCTCCCAGTAAAGATGGCGGAGCGAGGGTACAGCTTTTCGCTGACTACATTCAGGTATGGAAAGGACCCCCAAAATGCTCCCTGTAGCAAAGGTTGCTGGAGCTCACCTGAACTCCATTTTTGTTTGTCCTGGCTCTGACTTAGGGCTTCCGGCGGGTCCAGCAGGGCTGGAGGTGGAGATGCAGCTTTGCAAAGTCATTTGCTCAGCCGGCCCGAGCCCGAGAGGCGCCAGTGCCCGGGAGGCCTGGAAAGCGCGGGACTGGGGGCCCGGGTCTAATTGGAGCCCCGGACGAACGAGAGGTCAAGGCTGAGGACGCGGGCAGAACTGGGGCCTGGAGACTGGGAGGCCCCAGGCCCGGCATTCACTCTCCCCAGGTGACCCGGAAAGACAGGAGTTGGGGATTAGCTCGGTCCAGGCGGCCCATGTACAGCTCAGGGTTTCCTTCCCGGCCCACGGAGGCTTGCCTGATGCTGGGAGGTTTTGAAATCTGAATCTTTGGGGGAAAAAAAAAAATGATCTCTTTTATTTCCCCTTTTTAGGAAAAAAAAAAATCTTAGCTCTGCTGTTGTGTGTGAGTTTTGGTGTTGGCTTGGCACTAGCGTCTTTGAAAGTTGTTGCTTTCAGTTTCATCCCGTGAGGTCTACAAAATAAAAAGCGCTCATTTTCTATCCGGATTTTATGTCCTTCCCCTCCCCCCCCCCCCCCCCCCCTCCACGTTGTATATATTGCTTTGGGAGGTGGAAGAGTAGAGGATCTGCTTTCCAAAGATTTCTGGCTCTTATTTATGCAAGCAGGAGTTCAAGAAAAAACTATGCTCTTGTTCCTAGTGTAAGAAAGTAATCTCAGAAGGATTTTCAGAATCAATCATAATATGACCATTTTCTTAAGAGTTGGCAGTGTCCCCTTTAGCTATTATCCTGTCTGAGCCCTAACTTGTTGAATACTGACTGTAGGTGTAGCTAAACTATTGCTTCTCACTACCTCCTGTGATGAAAATTATCTCAATACATTAACAGATGAGCTAATCACAGCTGGAACAGGAGTAGCTGAGTTGACTTTCAAATTGAGTTTTTTCTGATGACAGAATGTTATTTACTTTATATGTATGTTTATGTGAATACACATATATGTATACATTATCATATATATATAAATGTAGAGAGGGAGGGAGAGAGCACCTCTTGGCAATTTTCAATTAGAAGTAAGGGTATATGATCTTTCTTCTGTAATTTTTGAATGGAATGTATTTAATTCTGCAGTCAAAGATTTCATCTATACACTGAGAGAAACTAAAATGTATGAGGCAGTTTACTGTTTAGATAGGTAAACAAATGTGGTCTTCAGTATCTAAAAATATGTAATAGGTTGTCATCCCTTTGCTGAGGCCTGCAATCTTAGCTACTCAGGAACCTGAGATCTGGTGTGTGGGTGGGGTGGGAAGGGTGTGTGTGGAGGTAGCAGTTCAAAGCCACCCAGGCAGAAAAGTCAATAAGAAGAATCTCTCTTCATCTCCAAAGTAACCAGCAAAAAGTAGGGCTGCAGGTATAGCTTAAGTAGTAGAGCACTAGCCCGCCAAGCAAGTGCAGAAGGGGCTTTACATTAAAAACCCAGTATTTTAAAAAGAAAAGAAAAGAAAAAGGTATAGACGTAGTAGGACTGAAATAAGAAATAACCATATGTCACCAGTGGACTGAATCTTTTTATAGTAACCTTCACTAAAATTTTTCTTTAATAATAGATTCAACCTGTTTAAGCCAAAAAAAAGGTATTGTTCTGGCCTGTGTAGTTAGAATTAAACTTGATTGTGAAAGAGACTAGAGGTAGAGCTGGAAGGTGTTTGTGGATTCTATTTGTTTGCGAATATTGACAAATGTACAAACTAACTGATACCTACTGATGAGAATGTTTTGTTGTTACCCAGGAACTTTACTGTAAAAGATGAAAGAAGAGGACAGGGGTGTGGCTTCAGTGGTATGGTTGCTTGCCTGGCAAGACAAGGCCCTGGAGCTGATACTCCAGGACATCAAGAAAAAAGTGAAAAGGAAAGACATGATTTTTAGATTAGGTTTTCCTTATGTTTCGGGATAAGCTTTGAGATTAGAAGATGAAGAGCCAACAGTTTGTGAAGATTTTGCGTTGAAGAAAGCTGTTGACAGTATAGACTATAGTGCCTGCACGCAGGGTCTATGAGGCTAGCATGTTTTTATTTTATGTGAAAAAGAAGTTGTGGGATTTCAGTAGGAGTAAGAAAGAGGAAGGCTTGTTCATATGGCAGGTGGAGACAACAGTGCTCTCTGAGTGGGTATAGAGGCATTGCTGACTCTAGTAGATATTTGTTTCTGAAGTTCATGGCATGATGATGGTCAGTGATAAAGATCTGCACAGGTCACTCGAAACAAGGTAATGTGAATCTTTAAGCTCCATGAATTATGCTAGAGAAGAATACTTGAAAGCTGGATAGCTTCAGAAAAATCATTTGATAAAATAACGACTAAAAAAATAAAAAAGCTCAGACTTAACTTTCTAATATAAATTCTTGTTGGTGTCATTCCACTTGAATCAGCTGATATTGTCGGATCTTTAAGCTGTTGATCTTAGGTGTATTTCTTAAATTGATGTAGAAATGTCTTGTCTACCACATGAGTATATGGATTCCTAGTACTAGGTTATATGCTAGAAGCTAATGGAACAGAGACTACACATGGAAGAAGGCATCTATTATAAAAATAGTTTTAGTATGATGCCATGGAGGAAGTTCAGGAGGCTGTAGGCATGAGAGTGTGGGACTGAGTCTAGACTGAGAGGGAAATCATGAGATATCTGCTAAGGAGAGAAGGCCAGGAAGCTGGCTGGAAAGAGGGCACCAGAGCAGTATGGTTTCCCACCAAGAGACTGGTTTGCCAGATGAGCTTTTAAAGTTTGCCTGGAGTAGGAAGATGGTTCAAGTTGAGACCTGAGTGACAAAAAGAGCAGCCATAATTATATGAAGCTAAAATAGATGGCCTTCTAGAATGTAGGATTATCTTTTTAGTTGTAGGTTGGAGTTTATGGTCCTGACTGTCACTTTGAACAAATTATTTTCGTTTGTGGATTTTTTTTCCCCTTTTAAAATGATTAGGTTGGTTTTTGACATATAACAACTCAAGTAAAGGATGACCTGGGTTCAGTTACTTGTGCCTCATACCTGTTAATAGAACTCAGGAGTCTTAAGATCTGAGGGTCAAGGTTCAAAGCCAGCTTGGGCAGAAAAGAAGAAATTCTAATTAACCAGCAAAAAAGCTGGTTTAGGTAGTAGAGCACCAATTGTGCTCACGCAAACCCAGCAAGTATGAAGCACTGAGTTTAAGCCCAAATAAAGTAAAGTATGACCTGAAAGTCCAGCTTAGTAGTGACATTTGGAGATCAAACTCATGTGACTGGATCTGTCCAGTATATGAAGTGAGGAGAAAAAAAACACAGAATATATGTGGGTTGTGTAAAATCACAGGGCTGGTAAGTGGTAGAAAGGCAGTTGTGACATGGTGGACAAAACCCAAGAAAAGGGAATTAGGGCTTTGCTGTATGACTTGTTTGTAAACAACTCTATGACAGATTACAAAGGCCAGCTGTTGTTTAGGGCTTGATTAATGAGCATGCCCTCGCAGGAGGTGTCCAACTAGAGTATTTGAAAGTCTGTGGACTTAGCAAATATCTCTTTTTTGTTTAAGCCCATCTGGAAAACTTGTTCAGATTGAATATGCTTTGGCCGCTGTAGCTGGAGGAGCCCCTTCTGTAGGAATTAAAGGTAATTATTGTAATTCATTTCACGTGCTTGCTAAACATTTATGCTGTTTGTGAAGTTAATAATTAATTTTTAAATGAATGGTTGTGGCAGCATGTTTTCTAACAGCCATTTTTTGTTGTTGATTTGGAGTATTTTGAAGTGAAAAGAAAATAATAATTAGCCTACTGAGGTGATTAAAATTTCTAAAAGTAAAAGTAAGGCCTTTTGTCTACTACTTGTGATAAGCCAGTAGTCTTTTCCATTCAGAAAGTTGAGTATTCTTGCCTTCCCATTGATTGTCTGATCTGTGGCTCCTTTATCCTTCCTATAATTAAGGAAGGGTCAACTATAAAATACAATGTAAGAATGTTATAATTATTTCTTTCCCTAGAAAAGAAAAAGTCTTATTTCATGTTACTAGTATAGTTAGCAGGTTGGCAAAAATCTGTTCTTGTAAAGCCTGCATACTCACAAGTATTTCAGAATACTTGAAGAGAGGATAGGTTGTGGGGATTTTTTAAAAATATTTTTTATCAGTGAGGGAAACATTGGTTATCATTCCGTACAGAATTTTGATTGTGAGAATCCAGAAGGAATTTTATATGATTTAGAGAAAATGGTGTGTTTGTATTGTTCATGTGTCTGTAATCAGAAAGTTATTGAAGTACTGCCTTTTCATGGTTACATGTTGAGATCTGTTTTTGTTTTGTTTTAGCTGCAAATGGTGTGGTTTTAGCAACTGAGAAGAAGCAGAAATCGATCCTGTATGATGAACGAAGTGTACACAAGGTGGAACCCATCACGAAGCATATCGGCTTGGTGTACAGTGGCATGGGCCCGGACTACAGGTATTTCATACTGCTATGGTCTCTCCACCATCTCGAGTGGACCCTAATCTCTGTGTTGAGGGGGACTGTTAAGGTGGTTTCTCTAGTCTATTTGTTCATCAACAGCAGCCTCTTTGAAGGTTATGTGTAAGTTACTTTAAAGAAGTTAAAGCCATGTTCCTGATTCCTATAGCAGCTACTCCTTACTGTGTTT